TGGTTGCTAAGCAAGAGTGTTGTTAAGTGAGTTTCACCACATTTTACAAGTTGGCCACGCCCACCCAGTCACATGACTGCCAAGCCACTCCCACCTGGTCACATGGCCAGTAAGCCACTCCCACCCAGTCATATGGCCAGCAAGTCACTCCCACCCAGTCACATGGCCATCAAGCCACTCCCACAAAGCAGGCCACAGCTACAGAAGAGGTTCTAAAAAAATTTGAAACCCACCACTGGGTGGGTTGCTCCCGGTTTGGCCCAGTTCGGCCGAACCGGTAGTAACGGCAGCGGGAGGCCCCGCCCACCCACCTGCATTGTGCGTGCAAGTAGCATGCCCAACTGGTAGTAAAAATATTTGCAACCCACCACTGATCTTAAGTGTTTGATAATGAACAAATACATTGTTTGGAGAATGTGATTCCTGCTCATAAGAGAAAAAAGATCTAGGACAGTTTAATACACCTGTAAGCTGAGAGCATTTTCTTATGTGGTATCTATAAAACCCACAGATGTACAGAAGTTTCGTAACTGCTTTTTGAGAACAAACCACCAAACATTTCTTGAAAATATATACAATATATCTGTTCTAGTATAATTAAATGCTTCCTTTAGCAACATTTAAATGTATGTGTTCAGGATACTTATATTTCATAAAAGGAATAGCAAGTAAGAAAAAAGAATATTGAGGCCCAAGAACTGGACATTGGACCTAACAAAATAAAATGGTATACCCCATTTTATTGCTAATACCTGTTCTGCAGGGGATGCTTGGTGATGTGCTCCACAACTGTCTCCTCTCTCTTAGTCTTGTGCTTCTGATGTTCTTCATGTGTGCTTGCCTAATGTTTGAACAAATGGGCAATGGTATGGCAAATGACAGGATAGTCATTTCTCCCAATTTTTTTCCTGAAATCTTTACTAAACAATAACACAAGCTAAGGATGATAACCCCTGTAACAATAAGGCATTACAGATTAAATAAAAGCCAACAGTTGTTGTTTTTTTTCAGAAATTGAGAAGCCCATAAATTTCAGGCCTATGTTCTTTCTCAAGCGCAAATCCAAAACTAGAAAGTTTTTATCTGGAAATACAGCTTTAAGAAATAAAACGTATCTACATGCTTTTTCTCCAGAACTGGAGAAGCAAATTATTTCTCAAAGTTTAGAAAGTTTCATATTCCCAGGCATACTAAGATTTTTTTCCCCCAAGACCTGTTCTAGCCCCAAGGAAAAACTAGTCTATTTCATGTATTTATGATCCCAAACAGACATAGTTCCTGCTGCATGAAACATCTCCTGGAAAAGTGTGAGAGCCTCCATCTCAAAGGATTGGAAACAGAGTGAATAAACAATTATTGACTTAAACTGTATTAGCAAAATTACAAGCTCCCAAAATGTCTAACTTTTTTCCAAATCTTTAGTCAAAGTAACAGGAAAACAAATATTTTGAGGCCCCAGACTTTAGTGTCATCTTCATTTTATACAACAATCCCTAAGGCAAACAGAGAAGAAAGGTGACATTGTAGATTTTGCAGGTTTTGCTTAAAAACCAATTTCATTGTATTTAAGTACAATGACAATAAAGATTATACTTATACTTAAGAGCTAAGGAGAGTAAATATATCTATGAAGGAAGACTTACTGCCCAATGAGCTGATGGCCTCATTTTCATATTAGCTAGTTTAGGCAAGTTATCTTGGGCCTGCTTGTGTTTTCTTCAAGCAACAGCTTGAAAATTGTTTTCATAAGCAGAAATTTTATTTTCCTGTTCCCTCATTTAGTGTTGTAGAATCAGTATAGCATGGTAGACACAGTTTATATGTTCTCCTAGCATAGATTCAGCACCTTTAGTAGGCCTACTATCACAACTACAGTAACAAGAAATGAGATTTCCTCAACATGCAGAATTTCTTTTGTTATACTTAAAGATACAGAAAATCCCCCATTATAGTTAGGAATACAGGAACGTTGCTAGTTAAGTCATAGAAAAGTTTTCCATGCAGTTTAGGCCATATAATGTAGGTCTTCCAATTTACTTAAGCAGTGTAAGATCATGGTTTGGAATACATGTCAGGTTCTAAGGATTCACTGTGTGTATTTGCTTGAAAGTATATTGTATCCCATTGTATTCAATTGAATTTAAGTCCTGCATGATACAAAGCAGAACCTCACTTCCAATAGATGAATCAGCCTTGCTATATTTCTTCCCCAACCAAAATGAGTCCTCAAGAAGTTGAGCATGGAGTTGAATAATTAAGACCCCATTTTGGTGAATACTATCTCTGCAGATTGCAACAAGAAAAAAGGAGAGAAAGCTCAGTAAAAAATGACAAAATTCAATATTACCTACCATCTTTGCTGCTGCCATATTTTACACAATATTTTTTCCAATTCTTTTTACCAAGAAAGTACTTGGGGAATCTTTTTAAATCCCCAAACCAGACAGGCTCTTCTTCGAAAGACAAGAGAGTTGAGTGTATTTCATTTGTAGAACCTGTTAACTCCCTTTATTGGGTGGAGCATGACATGCATGGCAAAACAAGGTCATTAGAATGCCTTGAATGTTAAAGGACCTGAGTCCATTTCTCTATGACAAAATTAGAACAAAAAAACGAAGCAGAGATCTGGGAGGGAGGGAGGGTCACTGTGAAACTGAAAACAAGAGAAATGCTGAAGGACAGCAATTGTAGAGTAGAAAATGGATGTGGGTTTATTTTTTTAAAAAAGAGGCTAGCATTTGAAGAACAGGCCATTTTCCCAAGTCAAATTACATGAGATTCCATCAAGGTTTTAGGAAGCTCTTAAGCATCATGATGCCAGTTGTCATCTATCAGCCTGTCCTCGTCTGCTTATTTGGTCTGGGCCCATCCCACATCAAGTAGAGGGAAAAATAACGATGCTGTACCTAGAAAAAGCTTGGGACATTTTCCTGTTCAGGCCAAGAGAATAATCCTCCTGTCCTCATTCTGCCTAGAGAACCCCCTGACCAGGGGTGGGTTTCTCGCCCCGTTCCAACCGGTTCGGTTGGAACGGGGCCGGCGGCGTCCTCGTGCACGCG